CAGATTGTGGACCACATTTGCGCTAAACATTTATTGCTAGTTGAGTAACGAGTACTGAGTACCTAAGGAAGATTCTTGATTCTTCTTGGTTAAAAATGGCAGGGTCCTTATTTCCCTTCTCTCGGCCTGGGTGCAGCGATTGTTGATCTGGATTGTTCTGCTCAGTCTCTATTTTCAGAGAAGGCATTTCATGACTTAGTCATGTCTGAGATGTTTGCACCAACACAGGAGGTATCAGGTTTTTCTTCATAATCGTCCAGAAGACAGACAAGGGAACCCAGGGGGGGACAACAGGACCCAAAATCCCGATCCTAATTTAGCCTAGAGGCTTTTCCTCGAGGAGTGCCGCTGATCCTCAAGTCGGTGTCGTGTTTCTCCTAAGTGGAGTTATTCTTTCCAATAGAAGCATTCTTGAACTGTTTCTCACTTTAACCCGCCTTCCTTCCCAATCTTTCTGTTAGCCCATGACTTCCCAGTTATTTCCTAATAATTAACCATTCTTGTTTCCCCTGATGTTTCTCTGCAGGGTTTTGAACCCAAACAAACACCAAGATGTCGGGGTGAGTACTTCTGTCTTGTTTTTACACAAGTCTGAAAAAGTTCTTAAACATTTTGAAGTAAAAAAAACGATTTATCTAAGCTGATTTTGAATTTTGAAGTTTGCTTATGACAAAATTGATTTTCTTTTAGGAAAAAAGTGTCATCAAGTCGTAAGCATCAGCTGAAGGTAAAAGCTTTTTTGCAATCGGAACTATTTGCAATCTGCATGTACACTCGACGTGACATGTACGTTATTTCTTTTTGAAGAGTTTGATGCTGTCCATCGCTAAAGGTATACTGGAGGAGGAAGAAAGAGAGCGAGAGGAGGCAAAGAGGAGGTACATAGCTGAGACCTGTCCTCCTGTGTCCATGCCCAGGACCATGCAGGAGCTGCAGGCACGTCACAAAAGAGCACCAACACTTGTGCTGAGGATGTCACGCAGACTAGCGACCTGGCTCGTTTATGACCATTTCATGTCCAGCATTTGCGTTCTAATATGCATCTCTGTTGGGTAACGTCTGGAAAAGTTCATAGTTGCAGTGCATTTGTAACAATGGCTTTTGCATCTGTGCTCAGGATCTGTGCAAGGAGATCCACCGCAAGATCGACGGGATCGATGAGGAGCGATACGACCTGGAGATGAAAGTCAACAAAGCCAACAAAGAGGTAGAATATAACCCTGGGAACCTGCCGTGCGTCCATCATCAGAAGCTCGGGCTGTGCTTTGTTTGAACATTTAAACTAAGGTATCGTTGATGGTAAAGTCTTCCATGGGGCAGAAGGATGTCATGTCAGATTTAGGGAGTGTGAATAAAATTATGTAAAACACAGCACCGCTGCCCAGATGGCAAACCTTCTACTTTTTTTCACCCGACACTTTAATGTCCTGATGACTAAATAAAACTGGAATATCCAGTGCTTTTGATCAAATTCCATGCTGAAGAACTTTCATCATGGTCTCTGTAATCTGCTTTTCCAGATCGATGACCTGAAGATTAAAGTCCAGGACCTGATGGGCAAGTTTAAGAAGCCCGTGCTGAAGAAAGTACGCATGTCTGCAGACGCCATGCTGAAAGCTCTGCTGGGCTCCAAACACACAGTTAACCTGGACCTGA